TAGCAGACGCCGCTCTCCCATGTCATCCCAACTGGTAGGAGATCTACATTTTCTCCCATATAATGCCTCATAAGGTGCCATCTGGATGCTGGCCTGATAACTGTTATTATAAGAAAACTCCACCAAGTGTAAGTGGTCTTCCCAAGAGCCCTTGAAATCTAGCATGCATAACCGCAACATGTCCTCCAGAATCTGTATGGTCCTCTCTGATTGTCCATATGTCTGAGAGTGATAAGTTGTACTGTAACGCAGTCTAGTCCCAAGACACTGCTGCAAGCTCCTCCAAAAAAGTGATAAAAATCGGGTGTCTCGATCAGAAACGATGCTAACTGGTACCCCATGCAAGCGTACTATCTCCCTCATGTACAACTCCGATAAACTCTCTGTCGTCTATCCAACTCGAAATGGTATAAAGCAAGCTGACTTTGTGAGTCGGTCTACTACTACCCATACGGCATTGTTTCCCTTCTGGCTCCTCGGCAAAGCTGTGACAAAGTCCATCGTAACATGTTCCCACTTCCACTCAGGAATAGGAAGGGGCTGTAATAACCTAGCTATCCTCTGATGCTCAGCCTTCACCTGCTGACATATTAGGCATTTGGACACAAACCGGGCTATCTCAATCTTCATTCCTGGCCACCAGTAATGCTCTCTCAAGTCCCGATACATTTTGTCCCTCCCGGATGAATTGAAAGCACTGAACTGTGCGCCTCCTCCAACAGCTCTCTTCTAACATCGCCCTTAGGCACACATAACCTACTACAGAATAGCAAGGATCCATCCTCATGTATTTGTAGATCAGTTCTCTCCCCATACTCCACATGTTTCTTAAATTTTTGATATCGAGCACCCTCGAACTGGGTAGCCTTAATCCGGTCCACCAGGGTTGATTATAACTGCAAACTCATCAAGTGTCTCCCTAGTCCAGGCAATATAACCTCCATGTTCATTCTCCAAAACTCAGCTAGCAACTCCCGCTATCTGGTGAGTCTCATCGCCATAGGCTTCCTGCTCAAATAATCTGGCACTATGGTACTGTTTGGCAACAAAAAAAAAAGTGTCTTATCTAAGAGCTTGTGTCTTATTGACTTGGTCAATAAGCTAGTAGAGCTGTTTGGATCTAAGAGCTTGTGTCTTATTGACTTGGTCAATAAGCTAGTAGAGCTGTTTGGTGACCAAAAATAGGAAGAGATTATTTTGGAGATTGTGTCTTTTGCAAGTAGCTTTTGGAAAGCTATCTCAAGTAGCGTTTGTCTTTGGGAATGAGCTGCTAATTTTTTTCTTCCGTTTTTGCCCCCAATAATTTTAATTTTATATCAATAATATTGTATATCTTTTTTAGTCATTTAACAAAGTTAAGCTAGTTGTACAGCTACTTTTGCCAAACAGCTCTAGTCAATCAGCTAGCTACACAGCTAACAGCTTTCAGCTATAATTTAACAGCTTTCAGCTAGCTTAACAGCTTTCAGCTATAATCTCGTAGCTTTCAGCTAGTTTTTCCAAACAGAGCCTATGTTAACCCGTCCTGGGTGATATTATAAATCAAGATCATAATCCACCATAAGCTCTAACCACCTACGTTGCCTCATGTTAAGCTCTTTCTGAGTGAAGATGTACTTCAAACTTTTGTGATCTGTGTACACTTCCACTCTCTGCCCTAAAAGATAGTGCCGCTATAGCTTTAATGCAAAAATAACCACCGCCAATTCCAGATCATGAACTGGGTAATTCCTCTCATGCGTCTTTAGCTGTCTAGATGCATAAGCTACTACCTTCCCATGTTGCATCAAAACACAACCTAAACCCAAACTAGAAGCATCTGTGTGCACTACAAACCCTCCTGACTCATCCGGGATTATCAAAACAGGTGCTGACGTCAACTTCTCCTTTAACTCCTCAAATGCTGCTTGACACTCTGGAGTCCACACAAACTTGACCTCCTTCCGAGTCAGCCTAGTAAGTGGACCTGCCATCTTAGCGAAATCCTTTATGAATTTCTTATAGTATCCAGCCATCCCTAAGAAACTTCGTACTTCTGTCACAGATGTAGGTGGATCCAATCTCCACATATAGTATCCAGCCATCCCTAAGAAACTTCGTACTTCTGTCACAGATGTAGGTGGATCCAATCTCCACACCGCATCAACCTTCTTCGGGTCCACAGAGATACCCGCTCCTGAAATTACATGCCCCAGAAAAGACACTTTCTCTAGCCAAAACTCACACTTGTTTAATTTTCCATAAAGCTTCTCCTTCCGTAGGATTTGCAACATTGTCCGTAGATGCTCTACATGATCTTCCTTGGTCTTGGAGTACACAAGAATATCATCGATGAATACCATAACAAATTAGTTAAGATACTGGGAAAACACCTTGTTCATCAAGCTCACAAATGTAGATGGAGCATTTGTCACTCCGAATGACATCACCAAAAACTCATAGTGCCCGTACCGTGTTCGGAATGCGGTCTTGGGTATGTCTTCCTTCCCCACCTTCAGCTGATGATAACCTGACCTGAGGTCCAGCTTAGAAAATACCCTAGGTCTTCCAAGCTGATCGAAAAGATCATCAATCCTAGGAATTAGGTATTTATTTTTGATGGTAATCCGGTTCAATTCCCTGTAGTCAATACACATCCGCTTGCTACCATCCGGCTTTGGCACTAACACCACTAGTGCTCCCTAAGGTAAAGTACTAAGCCTGATAAATTTCTTATCAAGATACTCCTGGACTTGCTTCCGCAACTCCTCTAAATCTGCTATTGGCATCCGATAGGGTGGTTTTAAGATGGGTGCAACCCCTAGAATAAGATCAATGACGAACGCTATATCTCTATCTGGTGGTAGACCCAACAACTCATCAGGAAAAACATCAAGAAATTCCTCGACAATTTCTGGTATGGGCTTCTCCTCTACCTCTATACAGGTTAATACTCCATCCATGCTGGTTGTTTGTGGAAAAATTTGCAGTAAAAGAAATAAAGGAAAATTGATTTGTATTCCTTTAATCTCAGTTACAATTGGATTTCCTGATTACAAAAGAGAGGAGAATTAATCGGGATTCTCCCCTTTGTTTAATTCTGGGTTCTTCACGGTGGCGATGGAGTGCCTCCTACGAATGCTCGCATCTAATTTGCTCTCCGTTGATGATCCGAACATCTTGATTCACTGGAATGTGGTCTTCTCCTCACGATTTGACGCTATGGAGGACTTAAGTTTGAAACTCTTGATGAGTTGATTGATCTTAACCATAATTGGTTAGACAAGCCAATGATCTCTTCTTTGCTGCCTAAGAGAAGAATGAAAGACCCCCCCCCCTCGAACTAAGCTGATTTCTTAGTTATTTATAGGGGATTAAGGGGTGTAACCACCTCCTTAATTCGCTCCTAAGTGGGGCTAATAGGATGTAACCGCCCCTTAAATCACTCCTGAGTAGAGTTGTGATCCCCTTAGATCATGGGAAACGGTTTTGAAACCGTTCAGCTCGTATTTGAATAAGTCAAACGCAAAATCCGCGTTCTGGCATGAATTCTGCGTTCAAACGCAGTGTCTGGAAGCATGTTTGTAGCGTCTGAAAGCTGCGTTTGTAGCATTTGGAAGCTGCGTTTGGTAGCAGATGGAAGTTGCGTTGGCAGCTTTCGAAGGCTGCGTTTGCGGTCGAACATGAGCTGCGTTGGCAGCTAGATCTGAGCTGTGTTTATAGCGTTTGGAGCTGAATGTGAGCTGCGTTTGCAGCCAGGTTTGACCTGCGTCTGCGGTCGAATTGGTGTTGCGTCTTGATGATGGTACGTGGGGAGGACTTCCACGTCTTGGTTTGAAAAGACCGTCGATTTGTAGATTCTTTCTGTCAGAGCGTTGCAAAGATCATCGTTTTGTAATCTTCGTTTTAACTCTTTGATATGTGAGAGTCGTCAGATTGTAACTCCCGATGTTGATTGCGAAGGTTGTTGATTAGAGCTTTCATCAGTTGTTGTGAAGGTCGTCAGATTGTATCCTTCATCGATCTATGTGAAAGTCTTCAAATTATAGCCTTCTGAAAGTCGTCAGATTGTAATTTCCATCATCGGTGTTTAATAGGGAATCAGCTATCTATTGTGATTTTTAGACAGCCTACACTGACTCGATGCTCTGGCTGCTCCATCACTTTGCTTCCGCTCATGAATTCAAACTCTGGGTGACCTGGTATCTTGAACACAACGCTTTGGCGTCGGCAGTCGATCGTCGCATGGAAGTTGTAGAGCCAATACATCCCCAAAATGACATCGAACCCGTTAGTGTCAATCATCAACAAGTCTGCAACTAGCTCCCTACCACAAACTACCACTGGGCATTTCTTACACTCCCAACTAGATATTAACACCCCACTACCGGTATGTATACTCCAGCTTGCATCTAAACTATCACAGGGTATGGTGTGTCGTGCAACGAACTGAGTAGATATAAAATAGTGCGATGCCTCAGAATCAATAGGGTAAATGCATGGACTGAATAAACCAAAATAATACTTGTGACTACATCCCCAGATGCCTCTGCCTGCTCAACGGTAAGTGTCATAACCCGACCCTGTCTCTGCTATAGTTAAGTTTGCTGACCATATTGTCCTGGGCGTCCTTGCTGATACTGTGGCTGATATGACTGTTGGAAATGAGGACCTCTCCACTGTCTTTGTCCTTGAAATTGCTGACCCATCTGATGTCCTTGAAACATCTGTTGCTGCGTGGGAAGTGGTGGCCTCAACTGTTGTCCACCCTATCTAGCCTGCATTGCTGACACTATCGCTCCACCTGAATATCCTCCTGAAACTCCTTTACTGGGACAAGTGGAAAGCTGATGATCTGCCGCCCCACATGCTAGGCACAACCCATTAGCTCTCCTGTAGTCCTTCATTAAGTGCCCCGGCTTGCTACAGAAATGGCAAATCATGTTGGTTGATTGTGGAGCTGGTCTCGGAGTCCCTATCTGTTGGCGTTTGGCTGGTGCTCCTCCGGTTTGAGGCTTATGCTAGTTACCTCCTGAGTTCTGTCCTGCAGGGCGCTTGTTTGCCCCTCTCTTCACTGAGTTCATGATCCCAATCAGCTGTTCTGCTTTCTGAGCTGCCTCTAGGACATCCGCATAAGTCTCAACCCCCTTCAGACTATAAATCTGAGTCTGGATCTCAAAATTTAGACCCTGCATGAACCTTTGTCCCTTATCCACCTCATTCGACACCATCCCCGAGGCAAACCTACTGAGCTTGGCAAATTTTGCTGCATACTCATCTACAGTACTAGCTCTCTGTCTTAGCATAACAAACTGTCTTTGCATCTCAAGACGAGCTGTCTTCAGAAAAAATGCCTCTAGGAAACTCTCCCGGAATGTCCCCCATGAAACTGGCTTAGGCAGCTTCTCCTCCTCTGCATCCCACCATGTTTTGGCTACATTACTAAGTTGCAGCTGCACAATATCGACTCGGTCTTCATCTGGTATCTTGGCTGCCCTTAATAGGCGATCCATAGTTTGTAACCACATCTCAGCCTCATATCCGCCTTCAGTCCCCGCAAAGTGTTATGGGTTGAGCTTCCGAAAATCAGACACATTACCCGGCCTTGCAACATGTCGCTGCACGTCCCTCTGGCGATTTTGAGCAACCAACTTCCTAATCGCTTCTGCAAGATCAGTCTGATCTAGTTAGTGTCCTACATAGACAACGAGAGTGGGGGGTCGACGGGTTGGGGCCATAGCGATCACCTGAAAGGAGACGGGTCGAGTTTAGGACTTGAGAATCATAGAAATGGGAGTCAAAGGATGGATTTCTGGAAAGAAAAAGGATGCATTCTATACATGATCTTTTTTTGGCTCAATCCTAGTTTCTACTTGTATACAGGATGAGCCAACAATTCCTAAACCTGGCTCTGATACTAATAAAAATCTTGTCACGCCCCGGTTCCAAAATATAATAGTTTGGAGCATGACTTGGCCGGCAATGCAACCAAACAGTCACATTCACGCCTCTAGATCATCCTGTATACATATAAAATGAAAACTATACCAAAGAGCATGTAACCAAGAAAATAAAATGGAATGTATAGATAAAGAAATATCAGCAATTTCCACAGTTCTATGACAAGTCCACAAATCTCTAAAGAGAAAGGAAAAAAATACACCATAGTTTGGAGAGCCAACTGTGGCTAAAGAAAAACCTGAACCAAAATAACTACCTAAAGCAACTGAACTGGAGAACTGATAGAAGGAACGGTGATCACTGCAGCTGAGCCTGCTCCTCGAAATACTCTCGGTCCTGCGAAAAAAGAACAGTTCCTGAATCTGGGGCATACAAACCCCAGGGGAGTTAGGAAACTCCCAACAAACATGTAAAATGAAGGAATAGTGCACGTATAAGTGTAATGTGGCATGGAAAATAATAAAAACTCAATTAACGGTAATAGAAAAAAATGCTAATTATAGATATCAAATAGGTCAACCAAAAGACACACAAGCCTGTTATTACTGTTTTAGATGTTATTTGAATTAGAGAAGAATATTTCATGTATATAAGTCGGTTTCCCATAAACCGTCCCGAGAACACGGCTTCAAGTCATGATGGGCCCTTAGTTCTCATATATATATATATACCAGGATATCAATAATGCGCACAAACCCGCTTATATACATGTTATATTCTCCGTCCAATTCCCCTTTTATTAAACCCCATGTTGTCTGTTTAATCTAAGTAACTGTGCATGAAATGTTGTGCACTAACCATAGGGATTCTGTGGAACGGCTTCCGTAAAACTATAAAAGATAACCGTGGTCCAAAACATGTCTAATCAAGAGGAGTGCATCGTCTAGTCGATGCTATAATAATAATAGCCAAGGAAAATCTCATATCGGGATATTTATATCGAGAGCGTAGCATGCTATGAAAAACATGCTTATAAATCATATTTTTGGACGGAAGACGTCTTCATGCACAGTCTAGCCTATTTGATGACATTTACTGATTAACACTGATTTCAACCACACAATCACGTCTTCATGCACAGTCTAGCCTATTTGATGACATTTACTGATTAACACTGATTTCAACCACACAATCTGTTTCAAAGCATAATAAGGTACACAAAATGAGTTGACAAGTGATTAACACTGATTTCAACCACACAATCTGTTTCAAAGCATAATAAGGTACACAAAATGAGTTGACAAGTTCACTAAAATAAATATAAGTAAAAAAAACTGGTACGAGAACTAATATTTTTAAAGGACAAAAAGAGAGAATTTGATAAATAATACAAGTCTAAAATTTGGTAAACAAACTAATAGTCAAAATAATTTTTTATAACCAAAAAGACATGACCAAAAGAAGTGATTTATAAAGCAACAAATCTTTTTTATTTTTTATTTTTTATTTTTTATTTTTTTGGAAACCTAGGACTATACAGAGAAGAAAAAAAGTGAATGGTTTTAAAGGGTCGAACCATTGACTACTACATCGGACACAAAATATCTAATCATGTTACCCTCAAGCCTTGTCAATTGCATGCTATTAGCGAAAGTTTAATAATCACACAAAAGAAAAAAACAAAATCTATATACATGACCGTAACTAACTGTATATTGAAGATATAAGATCCCAAAGATGGAACCATTTTGGTCATACTTATTTACAGCTCTTGCCCTTGGAGAGGCATGAACTTCAAATTAATTATAGCTCATGTCATCTCTCTAATTACAGCTCATGCCATCAAAATAATTACAACGAATGCCATTCAACCTATTATCATATCAACATACAGCACCTTGATAACTTACAAATATTAAAACTCTACATCAATGTCGGTTTTGTATATTGTTATAAACTTTTATTTATTTACAGCTCATGCCATCAAAATATTTACAGCTTAAGCCATCAAAATATTTACAACGGATGTCATTCAACCTATTATCATATACATACAGCATGTTGATGACTTACAAATATTAAAATTTCATAGCAAAATATATATATAATCGAGTGAAAAAAAATGTTTGCATGAAGGAAAAAAATCAAAAATAATAATCTAAAAATAATAATATTTGAGGAAAAGAATGCTTGCCGATTTGTCGAAGAAAAGACTATGAACTCAAAAAGAAAAAAAAACCAAATGTCGTCTCCTTCCCTTCTCTTGTTCTCTGTTGCTTCTTTTTCTCTTTTTTTTTGTTTTTTTAATATGAAAGAAGAAGTGAGGATATATATAAAGGGGAAAGTAAAATTTTTAAAATTCCTAAAATTAAGGAATTTGTTTTTAAATTTGTTAAAATGGGTGAAAACAAACAAGTAAACTAAAAAAAAGAATCTCACGTTTTTTTTTTTTTTGATTTGGGAGATAAAATCATGGGATTTTGATTTAAAAAATTCCATAAAAAGAAAAAGAATCATCATGAATCTCTCAAACGAAGACATGGGTGAAGTGGGCTTTCTAGGTGGGCCTTTGAGAACCCTCATTTTTTATAAACATGATGTGGGCCTATTCATAAAGCTTTCTACAACACAAAATTAATTCTGGACCTCCTATAAAACCTTGTATAAAAATATTGATTATTACATAATTTACTCATTAGTTTAGCTAGTCAAATAACATGAAATTTGATAATTAACACCTAGTCCCTGTGGGATCGACCTCGATTACTACAACGAGTCTGTGCGCTTGCAGATTTTGCCTATCATCTTCCATAATAGAAATACTAAGTTTGTATTTCTAACCACAATAGAAATACTAAGTTTGTTTTTCTTGAATTTATTTTCTTCTTTAGGAGTTCGGAATGGAGGAAGAAAATTCAACTACTGTAGAGTTCTCAATGGGAGAATCGAGTGTTATTGGAAGTGAAATTGCGGCCAATACTATAAATGCTCCTAAACCACTACTTGGAATGAAGCTTAATAGTTATGAAGAAGCTTATAACTATTATAACTCTTATGCATTGTTGATGGGTTTTAGAATAAGGAAGAGCACGGTAAATTACTCTCGCAAGACTAGAGAAATGGTAGGCAGAAAGTTTGTTTGTGATAAGGAAGGCTATAAATCTAATATAAAGACAAGATAGAGATCTCTCTTCAGCAAGAGACTCGAGTGAGATGTAAGGCAATGATGCGAGTTAAATTATTAGAGGAAAAATCGTGAGAGGTCACGGGGTTTGTTGAAGAACATATAAATCATGTGTTGAGTAGTTGAAGAGAAGATGCAAAATTTATTGAAATCTTGGGCTTTAATATCAAAATTCAATAATACGCTCGAGCTTGCATTTGATTCAGAGAAGATACAAAAACTTGATGATGTGCTAACAAATTTCGTAGAATCAGTTGAAGAAGAAGTTGGAGAAATTCAAGATCACAAATGGTGGATAGTTCTCACATTTTCGCACCCATTTCACATACAATGGAGCACATTCCTCAGATTACAGTTCGTGATCCTGATAGACATGCAAGGACTAAAGATCGTCCACGCAATGCTCCTAGAATCCAGTCAGGTTTAGAACAAGCACAAGAAAAGAAAGAAAGGAAGAAACACATATGTAGCAGATGTGGTAACTCGGGCATTATAGAACTAGTTGTAAAGTCAACTTGCAAAGGTACAATTAATAATTTTTTTCATGAAACTTCATAGCACAAAGCCATATCTCATGATTAATTTGAGATGTAATTTGTAGCTAAACTTATGCACGGGTGCTAGATTATGAGGTTTGTTCACTGGGTGGCCCAGTCCATGTACATATGTCTGAATTTGTTCCCTTTTCGTTTTTTGTTTGCTTGCATTTTTCTATATCAATCTTCAATTTTCTAGTCTATTGGTGAAAAAAATTGAACCCTTGTGGCACAGGTTGTTGGAGCACAGATTGTTGGAGCACAGGTTATTGGAGCATACTTTGAAAAAAATGAGATCTCAGTCTGAATGTATCGATTGTAATTTTGGTTGTAACTTTTTATGTTTTAAAACATGAAAATGATTCTAATTTGTGAGAACACTTGGATGTAACTTTGGATGATGTAACTTTGGTTGAAACTCTCTACATTTTGGTCTGGATGCATGCTGGTAGGATAATAGTTTTTGATATGCTATTTTACCTGTCAAACTGTATAAACAAGGATTGGTTGTTGATAGGATTATCTAATATGAATGTGTTTAAGTTTGGCTATTGACAGGATATCTTACTTTCTGTCTGTTATTTGAGTGATCAAGTAATTAAATATGCAAAAGTTCTTCAAATGTTGATTGTTCAGACAACATCTGCATAAAATTGTACCAAGAGGATATGCCTCAAGTGCTAAATACATGGGACTCAATACATTTTATTTTCAGTTATCTTCTCTGCTGCAAATGCCAAATGGCAAGAAGAATGCATCATGGTGTTAACTTTGCTTGATAGCACAAAGATAATGTTAAGTTGGCACATTTGAATTCCCAGAGATGAACATTTGTGTCTGCATGAGCGTGTGTGTAGGCGTATAAAATTGCTTATAGGTCCCTTAATACGGC